ATGATTATCCTAATTATATTTTAGATTTTTTATATTTAAAATGAGATATTTATTTAATATTTGATTATATTTATCTGTGGTTAGTTACACAAATTCATGAAGTTTTAATAAGTTATACTTGTACATTATTTATTTGTAATCTTGAATTTTAAGTAATATGCATCAATAAACAGTATTTCATGTCTAAAAAATGATTTTTAAAAGTTTTTATTAGATGCTTTATAATATAGTAATTTAAAGATATCTTAAAATTAAAAAAAAAAACATATCGATATAAAAATGGTTTTTTATCAAATATTTTATAATATAGTATATATATAGATAGATAGGAATATAATTAAACTAATTTTTTTTAAAAGTTAGTTTTATTTATTAAATGTACATTTTCAAGGCAACTACTATACGACTTCAAAAAACATAATCAAATATTTATTTTATTAAACTCGAAAATTAATTATATAATATAGGGTTGGGTTCACAACTAAAGGTTTTTTGTAAGACCCGCAAGACCAATTTATGTTCATTGATCAACTTTATAAGCTAATTATCTAATGGTCTAAAGTTGTACGATGACAATTTTGTAATTACTGAAAAGTCTCGTGGCAATTTTGTGATTATGAATGTTCAAATTTTAGATCTAATCCAAGTGTTCTGAATTGGTCTTACAGGTCTCACGAAAAACTCTTGTTCTCACATGATCCCAAGTCATATAATATACATTCATCTTTAATAATCAATTTTGATATATCGATGTCGAGCCTTAACTACCTATTGAGCGGGAAAAAAAATACCCTCACACTAATATCTTTTGAAGAAAGTTCCATATATAATCAATTGGGATTGTCGATAATCGACCTTTTGCCCATATATCAATGTCTAATCTTATATACTCCTTTGAAATCTGATTATTTTGACTTTAAACAATTATTACTTATTTTTTAAACAAATTCAAACACTTGTTATAAAAATAAAAAGCAATTATATTTTAATTTAGAGTAAATAACACTTTTGGTCCCTATATTGCCACCAGTAGCAACTCTCATCTATCTTTTGAACTAATTATACCTTTGATCACTGTGACTATCATTTTATTTTGTTTTTAGTCCTCAAACTAACTTCTGTTAAATAAATCTGTTAACTCAAAAGTATTCTCATCTGTTTCCTTTATTTTGTTTTTTCAGATCTCCCCTCTTTTTCTTCAATGATTTCAAAACCTTCGATCCCCTGCAACCTTTCATTTTTTTGGAAGAATAATAAACCAAGCAAAACCCACAACACAATAATAAGGTGGAGAGGATGATTCATCGACGGTGGGAGTTTTATAGCGGTGAAGACAATAATCGAGGCCACGATTATAACAACTCGTCCTACATGGATAGAAGATGAAAATTGTTAGCTTATTATAAGTCTCAAATAGTACACTTTAGGGTTTGGGGGTGTTACAAGAAGGTTGTAGGTTGCTTCTTAGTTCCACTCTTTCTTCCCAAAAAAAAAAAAAACACATTAATGATGCCATGTCCCCATCAATCTGTTTTGTTACAGATTCTTTTCGTTGGATGAATATCGGAGACTAAGTGACCGCAGGCAAGAAACAAGCGGTACAAAGGGCGGGAAGGGTGTATGCATTAAGAAAACGGAGGGGGATCGTGTAAAGTTCTCTTATTTATTATAATTGGTCAAGGAACAAGAGTTTCAAGAAAGATATCAAAATTTCAATGGAAGATCTTTTAAATAAAGATTTTTGGACCATTTATCTCTGCGTACCAGATGTCCCTTGCATTACTGGGTGAGCATAATAAGAACCAAGAATTTTACAATGTAAATGATATAGAAAATGCTTACAGATGTTTACTAACAACCCATTATCTATGCTATATTATAAAATATTTGACAAAAACTCTTAAAAACGATTTTTTATGCACGAAGTACTGTTTATTGATACATGTTACTTAAAATTTAAGATTACAAATAAACTGTGCAAAAATACAACTTATTAAAGCTTCATACTTGAATTCGTCTAACTAACTGCAGATAAACATAATCAAATATTAGATAAATATCTCATTTTAAATATAAAAAATCTAAAATATAATTAGGATAATCATATATAACTAACAGAATACTTAGTTTTTATCTTTATAAAAAATTATATTATTAAACCTAAATTAAATTTCTTTGTTATTAAACCTAAATTAAATTATAATTAAAAATTTTAATTAAGAAATTACACCAAAACACAAGAACTTTAAAAAAAATTAATTTAATACTGATATCGATAATTTTTTTTTCAAAATTTTATGATATTTTTAAATTTATAATTTATTCAAAAATAAAAACATTATTACTTTCTCAAAACCACATAAAACAAATGTTTACTTAAAATTCAADATTACAAGTAAATTATGCAAAAGTACAACTTATTAAAGCTCGATGTTTGAATTCGTATAACTAATTGCGAATAAACAATAATCAAATAGATGATAAACATCTTATTTTAAAATATAAAAAATATAAAATATAATTAAGATAATTATCGATTTCTAATAAAATAATTAATTATTATCTTTATAAGAAAATAATATTATTAAACCAAATATAAATTACTTTGTTATTGTACCTAAATNATTGTACCTAAATTAAATTATAATAAAAAATTAAATTAATAAATTACACAAAAAATGAGAAATTTTAAATAGTTAATTTGATTCGAATATCGATATATTTTTGTTATGCACAAAATACTGTATATTAATGCATATTACTTGAAATTGAAGATTACAAGTAAATTATGCATAAGTACAACTTATTAAAACTCAAGGTTTGAATTCGTATAACTAACTGCGGATAAACATAATTATATAAAGAATAAATATCTCATTTTAAAATATAAAATATAATTAGAATAATTATCAAGTTCTAACAAAATAAATAATTATTATCTTTATAAGAAAATTATATTATTAAACCAAATATAAATTACTTCGTTAATGTATATAAATAAAATTATAAAAAAATTGAATTAAAAAATTACAAAAAAATAAGGAATTTTAAATAGTTAATTTAATACTAATATCGATATATTTTTGTCAAATTTTTATGATATCTTCAAACTTATAATTTATTCAAAAATAAAAACATCATCGTTTTTTCTCAAAATCACAAAAGACTATATTATAACATCGATTGTGATAAAGAATAAAATGAAATATTAAAATCAAGATGCATATCGCTACATTGCGCGAGTACCTTTCTAGTACTTGCTTAATAGATGGTCTTTGCAAAGATGGGAAATGCGTTACTGGAAAAGATGGAAGCATATGGTTGCAGTCCAGAGAGTCGGAGACTGAAGCTTACAATGCAATAAAAAGGAATTTATTACGTGAAGCACAAGAATTATTTCAAGGAGTTGGATGAAATGAATTGTATGCTGAATTTGGTCCTTTATGGCTCACTCACTCATGGGTTATGTTCGGAAGCGAAGATGTTGCTTGAAGAAATGGGTGTGCATCACTAAACCGAGTAAATAAAGAGGCCCAAAAATCTAAGCACAAATATTTGCCTCATAGAAAATCGGTATATCGGACCAATATTTCCATCAAAATATTGGTGAACTATCGGTAAATATCGGACCAAATCGGTATGCTAAAAATGTCCTTCAACCTCTCCATTTTCACTCAACCAGGGTATCTGCTGTGAAATCGACGTAATCTATATAACAATTAGTAATCAATTTCACTCATCCAAAACCTTAGTGAATTAAAGTGTGGACCGTTTACCCTCAGAAGGACCCTCCTTTCAGTACCAAATGGAAACCATGTTCCAGGTGACTGCTAACCATACCTCCTTTCAATACCAAATGGAGACTTCATGAATACTTCTTTAGGATCATCATTCTAAAAAGCATTA